TAGAAAATAGGAAATCCATATTAGTTGATGAATAAAACAAAAGATGAATGACACAGATGAAAGCCAAGAATGGCTGAATGTCGCAATCGAGAAAGGATATATCAGAACATATGACTTTAATTCATTTGAAAATTTCGAACATATTGCGAATGGAAGTTTTGGTAAAGTTCAAAAAGCCTACCTAAAAATTTTAAGGAAGACCGTTGTCTTAAAAAGCCTACGCGATAACTTCAAGAGAGATCCAAAGTTTTATAAATTGTTTGTGAGCGAGGTAACGTTTTCGTTAATCTTAAGTACTCGTGTGCACTTCGGATTACGCTGATAAGTTTAAAATCAATAGCTAAGAAATATTAATGCCGTTAAAGATAGTGACAATGTCATAAGTTTTATGGGAATCAGTCGGGGTATGTAAATTTTGTGATGGAAACAATTGTGCTTAGGTTTTTCATACTCGTATATTCTATACTTTAGATCCGAGTGGAGACTCTTATTTCTTAATATTTGATTACGCAGATGGAGGAAATCTTCGAGAATATTTGGAAGATTTACACCAAAGAAAACGTTTCTCCGATCTTGGTTGGCCAAGAAAGATCCAAATGGCAAAAGATATCGCAAGCGGGTTGTATTGCATACATGCTTCCAACATTATTCATCGAGATCTAGTAAGTCAATACCACTTTGATTTATTTGATTTATTTAACGAATAGCCTATGAGTTTTTACCAAATAGACTTGATATTTTAGCATTCAAAAAATGTCCTGATACATAAAAATAAATTAATGATTACGGACTTCGGTCTGTCCATATCACGGGGCGACGGAACAATTACATCCGGATTCACACTATTTCCTTACTGTGATCCACGATTTCTCAAGAATCATCTTTCTTATAAACGAGACAAAGCCTCTGATATCTATAGTCTAGGGTTCTTATTCTGGGAAATTTCAAGTGGAAAAATACCTCAGATCGAATATTCGGATGCTATCGCGGGAAGGAGGGAGACACCAGTCGATGGAACTCCGTTGGACTATGTGAATATCTATACTAGTGCCTGGAAGGATGATCCTGAACAACGTCCTGCAATTGAAGAAATTCTAGAACTCCTCGAGAATATCAAGCTCCAACCCGTATATCAAAGGCCAGATAATTATAACCAACGTCACGAGCTTGAACTTATCACTAATCGTCTTGAAAAGACCAAGCTCCTACCCGTGTACCAAACGAAAGTCGAGGGTGATAGCAATGAGTCATCTAAAGATTCAAGCAATTCAATTGATAGTGATTCTTGTGAATTAGTTAGCCCCGTACGTACTGAAGTCAAGAGCTATATTGATTGGGAACCTCAAGATTTAAATAGCCCCACTGACGAACGTCGTTTCATTGGTATGATCAATAATGATTTTATTTATTCGTGTTTGACAGCAATGTCATAATTTTATTTGAATTTATAGTTGATAGTTCGCAGGGCACCACCATCTCATTTGAAAGTTCGTACAGGAGTGAAATAGACACCGAAGGTTTGTAAAAGTTACGGTAATTAATGATATTTCGCGTCATCTGCATTACTAAGGACAAACCCAATCAATTGCTTAATTGGTTCCAGATGCGGAGGAGGAAGAGAGGTTTAATTTGAACGATTCGACGCAAGGACTCTCTCTTGAAGAATTACGAGAAAGAATAAAAATATATTTTGCAGCAGAAAATTTCTCAAGAGTATTAGATCTCTGGGAAATTATTCTTGGTGATCCTAATCATACACCCGAAGATCAGAAGAATGCATCAGAATGGTTCTTTCAAGGAAAGCAACTAACGAAAACAGGAGGAATGGCTCTAGCCAAAGCTCTCTGTAAAAACGTCATAATAACTAATTTAAATATCAGCAATAATAACGTGGGAGTTAAAGCGGGAAAAGCGTTAGCTAACGCTTTGCAAAAAAATACCACCTTAACTCAATTAAATATGCGTGTTAACTATATGGGCGACCAGGCGGGCACGGCGCTAGCCAAGGCATTGTGCAATAATGGTGCCTTGACGTATTTAAATCTTAGGTACATTAAAATAGGAAATCCAACTGGAAAGGATCTGGCCACGGCTCTTTGCGTTAATAAGACATTGAATTTTTTAGATATTAGTCATAATAGTATAGGGGATGTGGCGGGCGAAGCGATAAGTGATGCCTTGTGCAAAAAATGACACCCTGATAGAACTAAGATTTTCTGAAAATTCTATAGGAGAATCGACGGGTAAAAAACTTGCCGAAATGTTGTGCATAAACACCACTCTGATGGTTTTGGATTTATTTAAAAATAAAGTAGGCGATTCTGCGGGGAAGGAACTTGCCGAAGCTCTGTGCAAAAATAACACTTTGAGAACTCTGAATCTGCAATCATGTGATTTGGGGGATTCTTCGGGAAATGCTCTGGCAGAAACTTTATGCAGGAACACCACTTTAACAAATTTAAATTTATCAGAAAATAATTTCGGCAATTCAGCCATGGAGACATTGGCCGAGGCTTTGCATCAGAATACCACCCTGACAACGTTAGAACTTTTTGAAAGTAGTTTGGGAGAATCTGGGTCGAAAGCTCTGGCCGATGCTTTATGCAAAAATTCCGCTCTTACCTGCTTGAATTTGCGTAATAATGACATGGGAGAATTTGGAGGAAAGGTGTTGGCCGAAGCCCTAAGCAAGAATACTTCCCTACTGGAATTTGATCTGACGGAAAATAACCTTGGGGAATTGGCAGGAAAGGCACTCGCTGAAGCGCTTTGCAACAATACGACGTTGAAGAAATTGGTTTTGTCAAAAAATAAACTAGGCGATTCGGGAGGGATAGCGATGGCCGAAGCTCTACGTAAGAATAAAACCCTAGTTAGCCTAAATATGAGTAAAAACATGTTGGGTGATTCCGCCGGGGTAGAAATAGCCGAAGCTTTATGTCGGAATACTAGCTTGACCTTTCTTGATATTGGTCATAGTCAAATAGGGGATCGGGCGGGAAGAGCGCTAGCTGACACCCTGTCAAAGAATACGACACTTGAAATTTTGATTTTATTTGTTAATCAAATCGGTGAGTAGGTAAGGGTGTATTAATTGTCGAATTCTCAGAGTCTAACCGAAAACTTCTGCGTGAAAATAAATTAGGAAAGGAAGTTAAGCTAAAAATCAGAAATTTATCAAAAACGGCTTGGATTTAAAAAGAAGGATGCCGATTATTTGAGATATCAAGAAAATATTTCATTTGGTAAAAAAATCCAACATTAATTTTTTTAGCCTACTTTTCGACATTAATCGCAAATCTCGGAGCCGCTGTTAAATATATAAATATATATCAATTCTATCTTAGAACTATTATTTTACTAATAAAAGTATCGTTATTACATAATAAAGTTCTAAATACTTATTGTGAGACACGAAGTGACACGATTTATTAAATGGAGTCAAATGTCGCGATCCATGTCGTTTGTATGGGTTATTGATTTTTTACAATTGTCCAATATCTTTTATATGCTCGAATCATTTTGTGATCATCTTCACATCATAGTTGATTTATATGCGCATATTTATATGGGTTTTAAAGTAATCATTTTGTAAAATAATTTTACTTTGCTTCTTGTATCTTTCTCAAATTCAACATCACTTTTTAGTGTAAATGTGCTTTAAATAGAAAATAAGCGGTGAAATATAATTTTAAACGGACTCAACTGTGAAAATCCAGTAAATAAGAAGTTTCGAAATTTTTTTTTAAAAAAAAAACGGGATTAAAAACTACCGAAGATGTGATGCTGTTAACTTTATTTTTAGGCTTGGGCGCTACCATGATGAAAATAAATTGATGATCTTGACCTTTTCTCCAACGACTTAAAAGTTACGTGTTATATTGTAACACATGAATCGTGGATATACAGTATATCTTCATCGTCGTATTCTCATCAAGATAATCACTCACCGAGTATATTCTAACAAGATTGGTGTTAGAATGACCTAAACACGAATTCGCACTCCGAATAATTTACGCCGGAACGTTTCCTGATTTTTTATGTATGGCACGACATGAATTGACTTTCTACTATACTGTTGTCCATTGACTTCATTTTTTTGTATCAAAAATTGTCCAATCTTAAAATCATTCCGTCTGTCGGTTGGCCTGTAAATCTGGCCGGCTTACTTAAAGCTAATTCTTGGTGTGAACTCTCCGGTCTAGGCTCTTTGTATCAAATTGTACGATATAGTTGGTTCGAGAAAAGTAATAGCCAAAACATTACATAAAAAAATAAAAATAAATAAAATCTTATCGAGTTAATCTGAATAAAGACCATTAGGCGATCCTTCCAGGAATTGCTTCAAGAATCATAACTGATTATATCTGAGAGAAAATAATATCCTTCAAGTTCAAACTTGATTTTAAGAACCCATCTGTTAACCGAAAAATAGAAATTCCGTAATAGAAAAAAATTTTTTATGATTTTTTTTAATGAAATAAAAAAATTTTTCTGTCGATTTAGGAACATAATCCTTTTTCAATTACACATATAGATGCCGTTTAAATATTCAAAATTGGGGGCCTAAGACATATTGAAGTATTAACTAGAGCATTGCTTATTGTATTATATTCTGGCTTCAAATTAATCAAGGTGGTATTCACGCGAAGAACTTTAGAGATAATTCTGTCTGAAACCTAAATGAGTTGGATACGTATTGGGTATTTTTTTTTTTTTTTTTAATAGGATGATGCATTAACCAATCCTTTTTTTCAACAAAACCATCTACGTTTTCCCCTCATATTCATACGAGTGACGTTTTCTACGCTCGAGCCCCGGAATATTCTAACTTTAATATACAGTATTTTCAGAGTTGTTCGGAAATATTTGTTCTGACAAACTCAAATTACGTAGTCAGTGTGTATTTCTGCGAAAAGACAAGACTTACCTGATCAGCAACTTTCCGAGATTATTTTCGAATCAACACCCTTACTGCATAATTGTCACATGTTAGTAAGAGCCAATTCCACTTTATAACATTTTCTGATCTAACCTAAAGTGTGTCAAGAATCACCCAAAGTACCAATGCTTTTATATTACCGTACCTTTATCGTAGGTCTCGTGTAATTTCAGTCGTTGATTCTTTCGAAACAAAAATTTCTAGTTCTAAGGACCAATGAAATTT